CCTTACCTACTGCAGCCCAGCTGCCTGCCTCTCCTTGGGTTGTGTACAAAGCAGTCACCTTTGAACAACTTAAAAACTGTATTCGATGGGGATGGGGGACAGAGCCTTGGGGGCCTGGGAGTGGGGAAGGAGCCAGCTTGGCCCAGGGCTGGATGCCAGATCTTTTTTGGGTGGGTGAGGCAGGCAGGAGAAACCAGGGAGTGGGGAGGGGGCTATTTCACTTTACTCCAGTGGTACTGCTTTGGAACCAGCCAGTCCTCCCTGGCTTTGATTCAAAATCAGACAAATTTGGGAACCACTTAATCCCATCAGCTCAGCTTCTAAAGCTGAAAATTACCCTCCTGAAGTGGGTCATCTGTTTTGATCAATAGCTTTATTGGCTATGAAATGATATAGTTTTCTTCTCTAACTGTATGGTCCTTCTTTTGCTCTTAAAAATAGCTCAGTGAGTTGTGTGTCATAAATATTTATAGCTAGCATATAAAAGATACTAAGGTAGTAAAATATTGCTGATCTTTATTTTTGGTACTACAAGCAGAAATTTGAGATATTTACTAAAAATTGAGAAGTCAGTCATTACGTTTTGAATGGGTTTGGACTCTTATGAGGTAGAGCTATGTTATCTTGTTTTTCAGTGAACTTTATTCCCTAATTTTTAGTAAAAAAGTACAGTAGAAAATAACGCTTCTGAATTCTGTTGTTTGGTAGTTTCATGATTAAAACTAAAATTTCTTAAAAACTTATGGCCTCACCATTTCCATCCTTCTTAAAATAACCAGAAAGTAATTCATTCAATTTGAGGGTTCCACCAGATCGAACTTCAAAGTTGCACCCAGTCTGTGGGGCCAGTAGCCATCACCAGAATCTTAAGACTTCACTTCTCAGAGACGAGCCATCAGAGGCCTTTCTGCATTAATAGATCCTGTAGCTTGCAACGCACCTTTTCTACATGGTAGCAAACCCAGATTGATGACGGAAGTTATGAGGCTGGAAGCCACCACCGCAGAGCGTTTGGAAGCTCTCCTCCTGGCATTGTGTCTTTCAGCCCCTCCACTGAGAATATGTGCCTTCAGAGGTCCCTCCCAGCCCCACATCTGGAGAGTGGCAGGCTAGTGTGTTGAGATTAGGTATGGCTACAAATCATAAAAGTCATGGTGGTCTAAACACATTGGAGTCTAGCCCAACTTTCCTCACCAGCCTTGCTCTGCACCCGGTCACCTTTCTTCGGGCCACCTAGGTATCACAGTTCCTGGAGCCCCAGCTACCAGGCCACTGCCTCAAGACCCAGGAAGGGGTAAGGTCAAAGGGCTGAGTGCAAACTCTCCCTCCCCCGTGAGGAAACTTCTGAGGAAGTCCTCTCGGGAGCTCCTGCCAGGCTGCAGTGGCCACCCAAGCCTGCAGGGAGGGTGTCAGTGCGGCTCTGTGCTGGCCGCTTGTCTTGCTTGGGAAGATGTGGGCGGTGGGCCCGGTGGGAAGCGGCATCCCACGCCACCTCTTGGGTCGTGGTCATTTCCCACTGGTTTTGAGATAGCACCTCTGTGAGCCGCTATGGAGGAGTTTTTTTCTGTGATGGTCATGGGATTACAATTTCCTTGATTTGGAAATGGAAGGCGGCTAGTGAGCTGAACTGAAATTGAGCTCTTTTACTAAAAGATATTGATGACTGAATTGTCTGTGGATAAGGAAACTTTATTGTGGTTTTTCTGCAGACATCTTCTCAGCCACGAGTTCCCGGAGATTTTGTGAGAAGAATAAAAGTATTTTCTCTTTTTTTTTGTTGAGTAGAAATGATTAAAACTTTTCATTGACATAATTCTGTGAAACACTTTTGGAGAATTGAGCGTGTGGGTATATTTAGTAATGAAGTCACAGGCTAGTAAAAGAGCCAACAGCATGTAACTGTAGTTAACAGCACTTAACTGTGAAAGTAGGTTGTAATAACCATGTACACCGTTTCCTAAGGCAATGAAACTGGTAATGTTAGTATTAAATAAAATAATCCCAAATATTTTATTTAGCATTGTTTACATTTTTAAAAGGATAGTTGGCCATTTAAATGGTTTCTGCTAACAAAACAAGTTATCCAGTGCAGGGGTAAAATATTTCAGAATCTTAATTTTTGATGTCATTTTATAGGGAATGTAGATCAGCACTGACAAGGCCATAGCAAAGTATTTTAGCAAAACTGATTCATTCCCTATAGTGACTGCTCACCATGAGCAAGCACCTTCCGGGTGCTGGAGATGGAGCAGCCAGCAGATGAGTCCTTTCTCCCTAAAGGTTGCCATCCCCTGGGCGAGAGAGACCCCAGTGGCCTGGTAGGGTGGACCTTCATGTGGGCTTTGTTGGGTTGCTCTTCTTTCATAGCTCTTCTCTGCGTGGTCAGTGGTCCCACCTTGCTGCCTGGCCTGCAGCCGCATGGCTCGTCAGGTCTGCCCACATATCATGATGGTGTGTCCATCTGCATTCCCGCCACCGTCAGCCATCCCACTCCTGGGTCCTTGGGTGGCCCTGGGAGTGGTGTGGTGCCTTGCTGGCCTCTGCTTGCCTCAAGGAAGACCATGGGGGCTGGGACAAGAGCCTTCATGTCCAGCTCCCACATCTGAGAGTCACCAGTGGGACAGTCTACCGCACTCTTCCTTCCTTTCTATTCTGGAAGGCAAAACAGAAATATCCTTGACTTGTGTTAGCTAATATTTGGTACAGCGGTTGCTATCTTTTAGGTCCAGTTTTTTTTTTTTTTTTTTTTACAGATTTCAGGTAGGTATAGTTATCAGGATATCTTATTGATAGGACACAACACTGATGAAATCAGCAGGTTTCTCTATTCCACTGGGCACCACTTGTCGCCCTAAGACCGTGGGCCTCGTTAGTCATAGGGGAGGAATGCAGGTGACCCCCTCTTATCTCTGAGCATGTGAACAGACATTTGATAAAACAGAGACCGTGTTGCCTCTGTAGTGAAGTGTCCAGTGCAGATGGCAACAGTGTTGCCTTTGTGCTTCTTACTTTCCTGGAGTGCAGGGGACCTTAGGGACAGTGGGGGAGACGCTGAAGGGTGAGTACAGGCAGTGGCCTGGAGACATGGAGGAGAGACTGTGTAACGTTGCTGCTTCATGTACACACAACTCATGTTTACATTACGTTCCACTCTGCACATGGAGACCTGCACTGACATTTTGACAAATTGGAAAGCCCTGTTTACGAGATGTTTTAGTGTGTTAAATTCGTGGGATATGGATAGAAGTTTAGCATGCCAACTTTGGTGTTCTCCCATGCTGTTGGACCAGTTAATTATTCTAAGTCTGTGTCTTCATTAGGATATCTCTAAGTTTCTGTACTCATGTCATTATCCTTGGAACAGGACTATGAGTGCAGGAGAGCTCTCTGTGGTGACAGTGACTGGTGAGGTGGACTCACTGAGACATCCTTGCTGACAGAGAAAGGGTTGCCTCAGGCTGTTCCCTAGTATGGAGAGCAACCTGCTAACCTGACATAGCTAGACCTGCTACCATTACTAAATGGTAGGAAATTTTAGGTAACACCTCAGATTTTAAAATGGCCTGCTGAGCTGATGGAAAAGGTAGTTAAATGCCTGGTATGTAGGTGGTTCTCAGTAGTTGTTGAAAAGGTAGAAGCTTTACTTCAAAAGTCTTACGGTTTGATAAATATTTTGGAAAAATTATTTTAATGTTGCACAATATTACCTTTTCGGATTTATTAAAAACTGGACTTGTGGCTATCTGAATTGGGAACATGCTTGGGGTGAGGTTTTCTTTTTTGTGTGTGTGTTTTTAATAAATTAAACATTATAAATGAAGTCAGGTCCCAGTGATGGCCTGATGTTGCAGGTGTATCATGAACAAAGATGTTCAGTGTTTATTTCCTATTCCTAGAGTCTTGTGTGTGCTTTTAGTGGCCTTGACTAGCCTTTAAACCTACTGTGGAGTGTTTGAAGTGGTTACTCCAGGTGGTTTTTGTGGGGGGGGCCAGGAGTGGGGAATGATGCTTCAGGTGAGAGACAGTTCAAGTTAAACGAGCTGAACTGTAGAATACTATGGCATTACTTACCTTTTTTACTTAACTCTGACAGGGTCTTTTAAGAAGTATTGCCTGCTGTTATGTGAACTATTTTGCTAGCTATTGAGCTGAGCACATTTTTTGTCTTTTACTATTTACTTTATTAATCAAATGTAGAAAGGAAGTAGGTGAGTTTGATTTAATTCCTAGGATTGGGTTATCCCCCCAGTCTTTAATTAATCCCTTGAAGTAAAAGAGGGTGGCCATGCTTTCTTCCGTGGTCCTGCTGAGCTCCACAGGCTGGTGTCCTGGTGCGGGACCTTCTTTCTCAGAGCCACGGGTGACTGAGGTGGAGGTGCGAGGGTCTCTCAGGTCTCCTCCTCTCTCCCCAAAACACTGTGTTAGAGCTTTGCCAGAGAGGGCCACTCACTCTGCCCTGCATGCGTGTGTTGTTGCCCTCCTAGCTGGAGTCTGAGGAGAGCATGCCCAGTGTTTCTCACATGGAGCGTTTCTGCCCCCAGGAGTTTGTGTGCAGTAGTGAGACGTGGTGTGTGAGAGATTGGATTTAGTACGTTGCCAGCGGGTAGCTGGGCAGGCCTTGACTCCATGAGGACACACATGCCTTTTCCTTGTCCTGTGTGTCCCTTCCCTGCACCCAGCGTGACTCAGGCCTGTCAACGCTCCTTAGCGTGCGGCACCCAGCGGTGTGCCAGTGTGGCCTTGGAGCTCGTCACCCCTTCAGCCCCCTTTCCGTAATCGTGCTTTACTGTGCTGCCTTTACTGGGAGATGTCTTTCGTCTTTCACGGGTGGAATTCTCTCCTCTTGATGTCGAGTTACTGAAAGGATTCTTTTGGATAAGTTTTTAAAGGGCAATTATAAATTTACTGATATTTTGTATTGACACCATTCACTTGTACTAATCTGCAGTGCTGAGCCATGCTGTGTATTTATTCACCATGAAGTTTTCATTTCATTATATACTTTCAGAGGAGAAAAGAAATTGGATTTTAAGTGGCCAGAAATATATCTTAGTACAGAATGGAAAGTATAGTTAAGTTTAATTGTATTTCTAGTGTGTTTTCTCTTTTTTCCACTAGACTTCATGAGGAAATTATTGACTTTTATAACTTCATGTCCCCTTGTCCTGAAGAAGCAGCCATGAGAAGAGAGGTGGTGAAACGGATTGAAATCGTGGTCAAAGACCTTTGGCCGACGGCTGATGTGGGTATATTCTTTGTACTTCCGTGCCACATGTTACATACAAGTGAATTTAAACACCCTGTGATTGTAAAATGTCAGTTGGATCCTCACAGAAATGCGTTTGTCATAGGCCAACGCAGTGCTTCTCCAAGTGTGGTCAGCACCCCCGGGGGCTTGTTAGAAATGCCCCTTCCAGGCCCCACCCTGCACCTGCTGACTCAGAAGCCCTGGGGGTGGCTGCCCTGTGTGGTGACGTGCTGATGCACCCTCGTGTGAGGACCACTGGCCTAAGGGATTTTGGGTTGGTTTTTTTTTTTTTTTTTTTGTATAGTATAACTATTTTCTTGTTTTAAATTCACCTTGAGGTTAGAAAGTTTACCCCCTTCCCCCACCACACATAGTAGCATGTGACGAATGTTCATTTTGTAAAACTTGGAAGTATTTCCTCCCACGCCACTTTTACAGTAAAGTTATTGAGATGAGGTGCATGGGTATTTTGGAATGCTTGGCGCAGGCAGCATGAAGCCTGTGCTCCGACCAAGATGCTAACTGCCCTTGGGCTTCCTGTCTTGATCCGTCAACCCTAACCCTACCAAAGACCTGACCTAGAAGTATCGATGGATGAGCTAGCTGGCTGTGCCTGGCTGCTCAAGGGTCTGTGTGCTCTGGGGGGACAAGGGCAGCAGCTCAGTTTCCCCTCCTCTGAAATGATGTACATTTTTGGCTTTAAACTTTAGTGCCTTAGAACAAAGCCCTGCCCTGGTGCCTCAGCTGTGGGTTTGAGAAATTGGTGGAGGGTTCGAAAGTGGCTCTGAAAAGTTCTCAGGTTTGAGTGGTATGGGATGAAGACAATAATTGCTTCATCTCTTAATTTTGAGTTTTTAAAAATTCCTCTTTGGGGCAGGTCTCTAACATAAAGGGAATTTTCTAGTTGGTTGTAGGTTGTTTTTCACCTGCATCCCTTCCCTCTCCAACTTCCAAGGTGGTTTACTTTTTACCCAAGGGTATAGTGAGGCCTTTTGCTTAGTAAGAAGTAACGGAAGTATGACGACGTGAATTGTGGTACATATTTTAAGACAATCACTCTTTCTTTTAGGTACAGATTTTTGGCAGCTTTAGTACAGGTCTCTATCTTCCAACTAGGTGAGTTCCAGATTGTACTGCACAGATTTGTATTTATGCTTACTGGGGGAGGGGTGGGTGCCTTTATGCATATTAAGAACTAAAAGTCTAGAGCTAGAAGTGCCAGCTGAAGGAAAAGACTGGGGAGCACAGAGGGAAAGTTGGCAGAAATTACAATAATGAATTGATTGCTTTGCATTTTTCCTCTTGCAGTTAATTTGTTGGGGTACAAAAATGCTGGATGCCAGGAAGATGAAGACAAATGAGAGGGTCATTGTGGGAAGTAAATGCAATAGAAAACATTCTGCTGGTGTGTGGAGGCATAGTTTTGAAAAATTGATCTTGTGTTTTAATGAAGAGTCAATCAAAATTCTATTTAAATAGTAGGTTATAAGGATTTTTATCTGATAGAAAAAAATTCAAATTTGCATTCTAAAATTGTTTTCTGGTGTTTTCTCATTAAAGACTCTTGATATCCAAGTAACTTTTATGTGCATTGTTTCATTAAAAGTTTATCTTCTGCTAACCTGCTACTAGTTAGTAGCATTTGCAGCTGCAAAGCTATAATCTCAGGATGTGGGAGTTGGTGGTGGCAGGGGGACAGAGGGGACTAAGGCAGATTCCAGGAGTCAGGAATCCCTGGGTCACCCCGAGTGACCCAGTTGTAGTGTAGGTAGTGCAGGAGTGAGTACCAGGAATGCAGCTGCAGCTTGCCTTGGAGGGGAGGGTTTCGCCTCTTAATCCCCTTGGTTTCCTAGTGCTGTTGGGAAAATCTTACCACCTTTTTACTTTTCATCTTTCGTAAACTGCATTTCATCTTCTGAAGGCTGATACGCTTCACGAAATTATGTCCTGGCCCCTGAAGGAGATGCAGGCCCCTGTGCTGTGGCGCTTTCCTCCCCACGCGGGCGTGCCACTTCTCGGGGAGCTGTGAGCAGAGGCTGACGTGCATTTTTGCTTCTGTCCAGTGACATAGATCTGGTGGTCTTCGGAAAATGGGAGCGTCCTCCTTTACAGCTGCTGGAGCAAGCCCTGCGGAAGCACAACGTGGCTGAGCCGTGTTCCATCAAAGTCCTCGACAAAGCGACAGTGAGTGTGGGGGCAGCCTCCTTGCCCCCCGCTAGTTTGTGTTGTTTGACCGTAGTTCTTGGCTACATTTTTGGAGATTCCTCTGCTTCTGGTAGAAACATGCTTACTACGTTTTTGTGTTATAGTCATGGTTACCATCTGAGAGCATATGTAGTGACAATCTGAACCATTGGGGTCTGTGAGATCATCAAACCAGTCTGGGCACTAAAATATATGATTGCATCTGCTTGTGTTAGGACGAATAAGGAAAAGAGGTTAATATCTGAAACAAGGCCCTGTAACATTCAGGTGCTGCCCATTCAGAAGTATGTAGCTCAATGATTAAATCGTGGCATTTATGACATAGCAAATGGTAATCTTTTTCTGAGTTACAGTTAAGAAAGAAATACTTACTTGCTCCTTTGGGTGTCCCCAAATATCCGTATATGAAAAACCTCTTGGGGAAAATTTGGAAGATGAGACTGCTTCTCATGTGTACTTGTTAAGGTTTATGTCAGTCCAAGATTAGAAGCAGCTCAGGAACTGTAAGTTACTTGCCTGTTGTGCGACAGTTCAGGTGTGCTGTAGGCCACCATTTCAGTTTTAAATTGGTGTTTCTATGTCTGTGACGTGTGATTAACGTCCTTGTAGCATTTGAACAGATTGTTGGAAGATGAGAGCTTCCTCTTGCTCACGTGGTGTTACGATGAGAAGGTGTCTGCATGTTTCTTGAGCTCTTGCTTTCTATCAGGTACTTTTGATGGGGGTGGGGGTTTGTAAAATGATGTAACATGTGCACCGCAAATGCACAAGTATCAGGTGAACATCTTGGTGAATCTCAAAGTGAACGCATCCCCAGCACCCGCAACTCCCTGCCGCTTGTCTCACCTGGCGTCTGGCACCAGCAATGAGCTTCGGCCACTTTTTAAAATGCTCACAGGCTTCATCGCATTTACTCTTCTCACCCACTCTCATTGGCAAATGCTGTTGTCTTCCATGTGTTACAGGTGAGGAAACTGAGGCTGGGAGAGGGGAGGTGGTCAGCCCAAGGTGGGTTAAACAGCCAGTAAGAGAGAGAGCCTCGATTTAGCTCAGGCCTGTGAGCTCTGTGCACCTCCCTGTCCCCACCACACCTGTGTGTGTGCTGCAGCTCTCACACCCTTTCCTGGGAGGGACCAAGCCACCTCTGCAGCCCTCCAGCTCTGCCCCTTCTGGCTCTACCATTCGCGTTTGCTCAGTTAATGAAAACGAGGCCCTCCAGACAGCAAGGAGGCAGGTGGAGACTTCTGACCAGGTGTAGGAGTAGAGGAGCTGAAGAGGCTGTGCCTGACTGTCCTGAGTTCCAGAGCATTCTGGAGGACGGACAGCTCATTGAGTAGTGGTTGCAGTAACTGCTTAGTCCTAGTGGCCTCATTACTGTGGCTGGTTGGGTACTGAAACTGTTCTCTGTTGCTGAGGGCCAGTGTAGACTGTGTTAGGAGAAGTGTGAGTTGCTCCTTCAGTGGATTTCGGCAGTTTCCTGGTTGCGCTCTTCTCCATGTGTCTCATCACTGTAATGCCATCACAGCTCAGGACCCTAGGGGGAAGGCTGGGTTTAAGGTGAACACTTGTCTGTTTGGACTAACAACCCAGAATACGTCGTGGGGGTTCACACTGTGAGGGTGTGAGAGCACCAGGAGCGACCTGGGGAAGCAACCCATGAGTGTGGGCTGGGAGGTGCTTCCTCAGCCCGGGTGTCGGGAAGGAGGGGCTCTGCTTAATGAGGAACTGGTTTTGTCATTAAGGCATAGGCGTCTGAGCCTTGGGCTTCTTCTGAAACAGTTTTCTGTGAGTTCTTTGGGAAAGGGCTTTGTTTCTCTGCCTTGGTAGAACACAACAGCCATAGCTTATCTGCCTGGTGGTCATAGTGATGTCCAGGTGTCCCTGTCCCTGCTGACCTGTGTCCGCAGCATTTCGCCCCCAGGTGTATGTTTTAAAGCCCCGGTTTGTGCTGAATGAACTGTTCCTGTGTTGACTTTCATTAGACGTTTAGACCTTTTATTAGACCCTGACTGTTTTGGTGAGGGGGAACTCCTTTTCACTCTGTCAAGGCTGAGGAAACAAAAGCATTGCCTTTTCTTCAGGAAGAACTCACTTGTGCGGGGTGGGGGTGGCATGTGGTTTGAATGGTTGCTTGGGCAACTTTTGTGAGGCTGGTTTTGAACACCTTTTGGTGATAATTGTTGTTGATGAGAGTATTTCCAAAATAGCCTTTTATTCTGATTTTTAGGGGGAAAATTTTTTTTTTAATAAAATTATTTTAAAGAGTGAAAACCCATAGTAGAATTGTTTGGAGAAACAATATCGGTACAAAGTATAATTTAAAAATGGCCTTGAAGGTACTTTGAATGTTTTCAAAAACTCTGCCAAATGAGCATGTGGGGACCAAGTGCTCATCCCCATCAGCAGGCACATGCTTTCCTGGTCAAGCCTCGTTGAAGGCTCCAGGCCTTCCTGCCACATTCTGCTGCCCTCGGATGGACACCTGTTGCCTTCAGCTTCCTCCCCGCCCTCCTCTTGACAGAGAAGGGCAGGGCAGAGAGTGGGCACCAGCTGTGTGAGGGACTGGGGACTGTGGAGGGTAACACCTGGCAAAGCCCCCTTCTCATCTTTAAGATCAAGGGTTCACTTTTGTGAATAAGCAGAAACCCCTGAAACTTCCATACAACTTTGGAAACATTTTGATTCCTGACTGTGGAGAATGTTGTATGTTAAAGCACAATTTTTAAAATTAAATCTTTTACAGGTACCAATAATAAAACTCACAGATCAGGAGACTGAGGTTAAAGTCGACATCAGTTTTAACATGGAGACTGGTGTCCGGGCAGCGGAGTTCATCAAAAATTATATGAAGGTACTGTCATTGGAAAATCAGCACAATGAAAATAAAGGACTTGAGATCTTATGTCGGGGGTATCATTTCTCTTATACATGTTGAAAAACTTTCAACTGAATGTAGGCATCTTTAATAATACAGACTATACACTTCACTTCTTTATCCTATGATGTTTTTAGAGATACTTTGAAGTTACACAGCTGTTTTTATATTTGCTTTTTTTGAGTAACTATTTCATGAAGTTGAACGTTATTTTAGAGTGCTTCGTTAAAGTGTTCTTTCTAGTTATTACAGAGTGACTTTGCCTCTACCTCAGTGTAACTTGTTCCCAAGGTTAGTCCAGGGGTTTTTTGAGGTTGAGGAATCATGATGTAGTTTAGATTTACTTGCTTTGGACGGTCTCAGTGCCTGAGGATGGGGTGGCAGACATGTTGACTGGGCTGCAGTATTTTGGACTCTGAGCAGGTGTGTGGTCTGGTTAATAAGCACGTGGCAGTAGAAGCCGTGGAATCCTGAACAGAAGCAAAGCCACCCCAGTGACCGGGGACCGTCTTGCCCTCCGTTTTCCAGGGCTGTGCTCCAGTTTCCCCCTTTCCCTGCACTACAATCTGGCCTTAAGGAGCATTTCTTTTTTCTTTTTTCTTTTTCTTTTTGTCCTTTTTGAGACAGGCTGCACCGCTCTCAGCCAGTGAGCGCTGTGAGGGCACTGGTCATCCCTATATAGGATCTGAACCCGCGGCAGGAGCGCTGCTGCGCTCCCAGCGCCGCACTCTCCTGAGTGCGCCACGGGCTCGGCCCCTGAAGGAGCATTTCTACCCCAGCAGAACAGGAACAGCACGGAGCCTCCAGTCCCTCTGCCCTTGCTTGCTGCCCCTACTCAGCTCTCGGCCTGCCCCAAAAGCCATGATAAATCCACAGCAACAACACACTCATGTGTCCTCCCTGAGCTCCCTTTTCCTGGAGACTCCATGGCAGAGCTCCCCACCTCATTCCTGCTGAATCGCAATGTGGGGAGGGGGTCTCCACAGTCTGCATTTTCACGGGCTTCTCAGGAAATTAATTTTTCCCAAAATTTGAGACCAAGTGACCTAGAGCCTTTAGATAGGCAAGAACATTGATTAAACTTTGCTTTCTATCATGTGAAATTTATGCGAAATTTCTTTAAAAGTATATTAACTAATCAGTAAATCTTTTTCTTTTGGAATTTACAGAAATATTCATTGCTGCCTTACTTGATTTTAGTATTGAAACAGTTCCTCCTGCAGAGGGACCTGAATGAAGTTTTTACAGGTGGAATTAGCTCATACAGCCTAATTTTAATGGCTATTAGCTTTCTACAGGTATGTATGCTTTCTCTGTGGAGACATTTATAAGTAAGACTTACGAAGTGCAGATTCTTCCTTGTGCTCTGACCGGTTGCTTGCTTCCTGCTTCCTGGGTCCTGCAGTCCTTGTCTTCCTTCACTATTCTGCTATGATTTGGTAGAGGTTGACTTCTAATTTTTACAATAAAGCTCTCTTTTGATCAGTGTTCCTTTATAGTATTTTTGTAGCTTATTTAACTCTTTGGGTAAGGAGTGCTTTTCTGGTTCTGTAAGTCAAGTGCATGTCAACCTAAGCTTAAGGAAGCACTCTTCTTACATTTAGAAAACATTCATTCCTTGATAGACAGTAAAAAGCTATTTTTCTTGGTGCTCATCTGACTCATACTGAAAATAATTTGTGTCAGGATATAGTTGGGAAAAAAATTAAAGAGAGCCTTTATTCTCAGATTGATGAAATTTCAGTATTTTGTCTTAAATTGTAAATGGTCCTTATTTTGTTGAGTGACGTGATGGAAAATCTACCAGTGGAAAACCTACCTGAGTGTGAGATGCTGTGATGTATTGATGAGCTGTGTGGGCATACCTTGCTTTGTTGTGCTTTGCAGAGAATGCATATTTTAAAAATTGAAGGTCGCGGCGGCCCTGCATCGAGCAAGTTTGTCACCCCCATTTCTCCAACAGTACATGCTCACTTCATGTCTCTCTGTCTCATTTTGGTAATTCTTGAAATATTTCACATTTTTTCAATATTATTTTATCTCTTATGGCAATCAGTGACCTTTGATGTTACTATTGTAATTGTTTTGGGGTGCCACAGACTGTGCCCTTATAGGATGGCAAACTTAATCAGTAAATGTCATGTGTGTTCTGACTCCTCCACCAGCCCACTGGTCCCTGCCTCTCTCTTCATCTCTCCTTGGGCCTCCCTATTTCCTGAGACACAATAATTTTGAAATTAGTCCAGTTAATAAGCCTACAGTGGTGTCCATGTGTTCATGTGAAAGGAAGAGTCTCACGTCTCTCACTTTATTTATTTATTTATTTTTAAAAGATGACCGGTAAGCGGATCTCAATCCTTGGCTTGGTGTTGTCAGCACCACGCTCAGCCAGTGAGCTAACCGGCCATCCCTATATAGGATCCGAACCCGGGGCCTTGGTGTTATCAGCACTGCACTCTCCCGAGTGAGCCACGGGCCGGCCTTCACGTCTCCTACTTTAAATCAAAAGCTAGAAAGGATTAAACTAGTGAGGACTGAAGGCATGTCATCTAAAACTGAGATAGGCCAGAAATTAGGTCTCTTGCACCAAACAGTTAGCCAAGTTGTGAATGCAAAGGAAAAGTTTTTGAAGGAAATTAAAAGTGCTGCTCCAGTGGACACACAAGAAAGTGAACCAGCCTTACTGCTGACAGGGAGAAAGTCTTGGTGGTCTGGATAAAAGCTCACTCCAGCAACAGCGTTCCCTTAAGCCAAAGCCTAATCCAGAGGTAGGCCCTCCTAGCTCCCGTCGGTTCTGTGAAGGCTGAGAGAGGTGGAGAAGCTGCAGAAAACAAGTCTAAAGTTGGTTTGTGAGGTTTAAGGAAGGAAGCCGTCTCCATAAACATACAAGTGCCAGGTGAAGCAGCAGTGCTGACGTAGAGGCTGCAGCATGTCACCCAGAAGACCCAGCTGAGACCATTGATGAAGGCAGTGACACCAAACAACAGATAATCAGTGTAGATGAAACAGCCTTTTGTAGGAAGATGCCATCTAGGACTTTCATAGCAAGAGAGGAGAAGTCTATGCCTGGCTTCAAAGCTTCAAAGGACAGGCTGACTCTTGTTAGGGGCTAATGCAGCTGCTGACTTTAAGTTGAAGGCAGTGCTCATTTACCATTCCAAAAATTTTACAGCCCTTAAGAATTAAATCTACTTTGTGCTCTATAAATGGAACCACAAAGCCTGGATGACAGCACATCTGTTTACAGCATGGTTTACTGAATATTTTAAGCCCATTGTTAAGACCTACTGCTCAGAAAAAATTTCTTTCAAAATATTACTGATCACTGACAATGCACCTGGTCACCCAAGAGTTCTGAAGGAGATGTACGAGGAGATTAACATTGTTTTCCTGCCTGATAAAACAGCATCCATTCTGCAGCCCATGGATCAAGAGAAATTTTGACTTTCAAGTCTTATTATAAGAAATACATTTCATAAGGCTGTAGCTGCCATCGATAGTGATTCCTCTGATGGATCTGGGCAAAGTAAATTGAAAACCTTCTGGAAAGGATTCACTGTTCCAGATGCCATTGAGAACACTGATGATTCATGGGAGGAGGTCAAAATACCAACTTGAACAGGAGGCTGGGAGAAGTCGATTTCTCCCGTCAGGAGTGATGTTGAGGGGTTCAAGACATCAGTGAAGGAAGTAACTGCAGATGTGGTGAAAATAGCAAATAACTACCATTAGAAGGGGAGCCTGAAGATGTGGCTGAATTGCTGTAATCTCATGGTAAAACTTGAGTAGATGAGGAGTTGCTTCTTATGGATGAGTAAAAAAAGTGGTTTCTTGAGGTGGAATCTACTCCTGGTGAAGGTGCTGTGAACATCATTGAAATGACAACAAAGAATTTAGAATATGACAAACTTAGTCAAGAAAGCAGCAGCAGTGTTTGAGAGGTTTGACTCCCATTCTGAAAGAACTTCTACCATGGATAAAATGCTATCAAACAGTATCACATACTACAGAGAAATCTCTCATGAAAGGAAGGGTTGATCAATGTGGGTACCTTCATCATTGTCTTATTTTAAGAAATTGCCACTGCCATCCCAGCCTTCAGCAGCCAGCACCCTGATCAGTCAGCAGCCACCAACATTGAGGCAAGACCATCCTCCAGCAGGAAGGTTAGGACTCACTAAAGGCTCAGACGATCGTTAGCAGTTTTTATCAGTAAAGTATTTTTTAATTAAGCTATGTATGTTGTTTTTTAGACATATTGCTGTTGCACGCTTAATAGATGACAGTATAGTCCACACATCACTTTCACATGCACTGGAATACCACAAAGCTCGTGTGACTCAGGTTACTGTGATACTCACTTTACTGTGGTAGTCTGGAACTGGACCTGCAGTATCTCTGAGGTATATAACTGTACTTACACTATTTTAACATATAAAATAGTCTCTAAGTTAATTAAAACATTAATTATTCTATGTATATTTTCTTGAACGAAGGATTTTCTGTTCTTTACAAAATCTTGCCTACATATTTAGCTGCACAACTATATGAGGGGTCTTCAAAAAGTTCATAAATTCATATTATCTTTTAAACCTATTTTTCCACAAACAATTTGAAGTACCCTCCTTTTCCTCCATGTTTATCATTAATTTTGTATTTGTGATTGTGCTTTATCATTAATACTACTGAGAGCAGAACCATTGATTACCCTACCTTTAATTACTGTGACTTCCTCAGCATATCTCTGCTTATGGAAGTGGAATTCCACATCTGTTTTCTTATAGTTTTAATCACATTGTCTTGTCTCGCACTTGCCCGTCTGTGATGTGGCCCTTATAGCCATTCCTCCATAGTTTTTGGACACTGTTTTGAACTAAACACAGCCTTCTGTTCTTATTTCTTCCGTTATTCCTGCCCTGAACTATTTCTTTTCAGTAGCCTTGTAGTAACAACTATTTTTTGTTGTGCGCTTCCCTGGTGCCAGCCTGATGCAGTGCCTCCTGTTACACTCCCTTGTGGGGTCCTCGCAGGGGTCCTGTGGCTCACAGAGGGCTACACTAGTGTGGCTAGGGCTGCCATTTTCATCTCATATCCCTGTGCCCTGCTCAGTGACCAGTGTCCATCCTGCCTCACAGTTGTGACAGTTGTAGCATCTCAGTTCACTTCATGACTGATTTGAGGGAAGGAGGCCAGACGTGCACTGGGAAGGCTCTTAGATATTTGATTTTGACTAAAAGGCGAAGAATAGGGAAGGGGATAAAAGTGAGGCAAAAATAAGAATGCTCAACTTGTGCCGTGGAAATATGCATGTCTTCAGAAGCCAAAATTCTTCTGAGCCCTAAAAATTGTAGGCTTCAGGAGATGTTTCCTCATGGAGCTCTGTGGTATGACTATTTTCAATCATTGTGCCTCTATCAGGGCTTTTCCTTCATGTGGACTTGACCATCATTTTGTAGATTGGCGCTCTCCGGTAGAATTTTCTGTGCAAATGGCAGTGTTCTATATCTGCACAGTCCAGCAGGATAGCCATGACCCATGAGCCATGATGGCTGCTAGCATTGTACTGTGGCTGGTGAAACTGACAAGTTCGATTTTTTTCTTTTTTTCTTTTTCCCTTAGGGGACAGCTGGCTGGTATAGGGATTGAACCCTGAAACTTGGTATCAGTACCATGCTCTGTCCAACTGAGTAATCAGCCAGCCTTGGACTATAAGTTAGTTTTAATTCATGTAAATAGAAATAGTCATGTGTGGGCAGCAGAGGTCTGGACAGCTGACAGTTACGTCTGTTAATCAGTGACTTTCGGGAGGTTTTCAGTGGCAGTGGGTTAGATTCAGAATAGGCTCATTATCTGCTTAAAGAAAGTGTGGCACGGAACTGAGGCTGATGTTAATCAGTATGACAAGCAGGATGAAGTCTGATATAAATATTATGATACAATACTAATTACCCATACACAGTTAAAATTAATCATTTCACATTCTGGTTTAAGTGATACTGTGATATTATTCAGTCTCATACTGCCCCCTATAGGTTGTATTTTAGAGTAATGAAATTAAGATGACTGATGTCTATAAAATTACATCCACCATCCAGGCAGACTGTGCAGACTGTGGTCAACTTATCTACACATATTTGGCAACTTGTGGTTAATCAGATGCTTATGTTTGTAGGAAGTTGCTGCATGAATTAGCAATTTCAAAAGTATAATAAAAAAATGAGATTAGGACGTTTTCTTTCTTTTGAACACTCTTTATTCCCTGAGGCTGTCCAGGTTCTTTCTCTCAGTGCCTCCTTGCTGTGCTCCTGGCTTCCTCACACTGTTGGCAAGTGAGTGCCACCAGCAGTGTTTTTTGAAGGGCTGCTAGATGCAGACTTCATCATATGCCACCTGCTCTAGAGCATGTTGTGGATCCATACAAATTGTGGGTGCATTGCTTTTACAGTTGCATCCAAGGATTGATGCCCGGAGAGCTGATGAAAACCTTGGAATGCTTCTCGTAGAATTTTTTGAACTCTATGGAAGAAATTTTAATTACTTGAAAACTGGTATTAGAATAAAAGAAGGAGGTGCCTATATTGCCAAAGAAGAGATCATGAAAGCCATGACCAGCGGGTACAGACCATCGATGCTGTGCATTGAGGACCCCCTGCTGCCTGGTAAGGATGTTTGGCTCTGCATTGCTGGGAGCCGGGTGGGCCTCCCTGCTCACTGGTGATGGGGGTGGGACGGGGGAAGGGGGCTGAGAGCAAAGGGCAGTGCATTGGCTCTTGATGCAGTGCCCTCCTGCACTGAGCGACAGTGACACTTTCAGAATTCCTTGCATAATGCTCCTAACTTACTGTGTTTTAAACAGTTTTCATTTTGTAATCACCCAGAATTAAGAGGGTTTTTTTCCTGATTACAAAAATACTACATATTCACCATAAACCATTCACTTCCCAGAAGTACGTAACATAGAAGCGCAAAGTATGCCAGGTCTCTTTTCATTTTTACCTGTACTTCTCCACTTTTTTTCCTATGTGGATATTAATATTTATTGTTGCCATTTTACTAATTTAGCATCCTACAACATAAGCAGATTTGCAGCTTGGGCTTGGTCTTAACAGTATATCCTAGACCCCCTCCCTCTGTGTGTCGGTTACATTTCATTGTAAGGATTGCCACATTGAAGAGCCTGAGGCTGGGCTCCAGTTTTCCCAGGTTTATTCCCATTGGCGTATTTACAGGTGCTTATGTCCCCATGCCTTAGACAACAGTCTTTTTTAATCTTTGCCAATATGATAAGAATCACATGATATAAGTTTTTCATTTAATTTACATTTCTTTAATGATTAGTGGGGTTAAACACATTGTTATTTATCAATTCCACAAATGTTTATTGAGCAGCTATTAGGTGAGACACTGTTCTTACTGTTGGTGATAAAATCAGTGACGGACAGGTGACAGAAAAGGTGGTGGAGAATGCCAGCTCCAGGTACATGGCCCCTTTGCATTTCTCTCTTGCAACTTCATGTGCTCTGTCCGTTCATCTTCTGGGCTGTCTTCTCAACTGGTGTGTGAGAGTCCCATGTACGTTAGGAAAGCCTTTCTTGTTGTACATGCCATACTTTTTTTTTCCATTTTGTCTTTTGTATCTGTATTTGGTATTTATCGTTCAGCTCCTATACATTTTTTAAATATTCTCAAATTTAATGATTTTTTTGTTTTGTTTTATGGTTTCTAGGGTGTGGTATTTATTTCCGAAAAATCTTTTGAAAGAACATTTATTGACTCTTCCGTTTTGTTGTTGTTTTTAAATTGGCATGTTTTATGCCATGGTTGTTAAGTGGTGGATTTTCTGGTAGCACCATGTGCACATCATCCCTCTTGTCTGTTGGATCAATCAGATTGCAGACTTTCCATTGTCTGCTTAAATGTACTTGAAAAACAAAGACTCTGTTATCACTCAGTTATATTATTAAATCTAGAAAAGATAAATTGCAATACTTAGAGTATTCCTTCTTAAAAAAAAAATCCATACTTAACCTGAATTGTGAAGAATGAGTTATATGTAAATTAAAATTCGAAACTGGGCTTATAAAAATTAAGCTTTTCCTGACTGGCTTACTTGGTGAGCTCAGTGACAGCTTCATGTGATTTGCTGCTAGTTGTCCAGAATTCACCACTGGAGAGTTCGTTCTAAAGCATGTAGTTCTTGCAGGTTCCATTGGGGTTCATTCAGTTGCCATGTAGGCAGGGTGAACCACCACTGTATCTGCATGTATTGGGGCATTTTAAGGACTTGGGATTGTTTTAAGGACTCTCATAAATCTTGGGTCAGCACTGCTGGTCTGCACGATGGGGGTCTTTGGCTCTCTCATGTTTTTTGCCACCTGGAGAGTTAGCATACCTTTTCATGAACTGTCACTTCATCTGTGAATTACAACTCTCTGTTGGTGGAGGTAGACCATGACCACATGGGGTCCAATGATGCAGACTGGGCCTCTTGTTATTTGCTGATTTCCATGTGTGCCCATTGTGTTAACCTGACTCACCTTTGCTGATGGGGTCTGGAAGTGTTTCAGTGGTGAGAGCCTGCTTCAAAATAACTTGTATGAGAAGATGAGAAGCATCTGGATAATGGCTCAGATATTTGGCAGGGTTTGACAGCTGCCTTTCTGTTGCAGGAAATGATGTTGGCCGAAGCTCCTATGGGGCCATGCAGGTGAAGCAGGTTTTTGACTATGCCTACATTGTTCTCAGTCACGCCGTGTCACCGCTTGCGAGGTCCTATCCAAACAGAGATTCTGAAAGGTAACAGAAGTTGATTGTCTGTGTTCTGGGTTCATAGCTCCTGTGAGATGGCAGTTACACCTTTCCTAATATGAAACTTATTAATGGATATGCCATCATCTTTTAATAGAACTTGAACATGGTAAAGAGGACTTTTCAGGAATTCAGGATGGCTATATTTGATTCATCCGTGGTCAGTTGAAAATTTCTTCTCTGGGGAGTTGACATTTTTTCAGGGTATTTTGTGTTGGGGAGATGATTTCTGGTTTTTAAAACTTTGGAACATAATGCTTTGTCTCCAGGCAGTCTTAAAAATACGAACATTCAGCTTCCAAGTGGATGCGTGTCTGAATACTCAGCTCTGTCCCTCCTCTCGATGTACAGTTTTCCCTCATTCTGCATTTTTGGGAACATTTTTGCTGTGTACACTCATTGGTAGAAATATTTATTTTTGACCCCAGATTATGCTGCTGTGGCGGAGGTGGTGGGATTGGGGGTGGAGGGAGGGCTATGAGATAGGAGTGGAAAGGAAGAGTAACGTGATTGTCGGGAGTGGTAACTCAAACGGTGCCGTTAGTCTGTTCCGTGGTAGATTATGGAATAGGTTTTGAGGCCTGACTCAGGAGCCTCTGCAGGCACTGGTGGTGGTGTTCTCAGAGGAGCTTTGGTCCCTATAATGGCAGTCGGTGTCTCTTGGCACTGTCTCTCCACTCTCACCTGTGCAGTGGAAAGGGAAATGTCACAACTTTATGATCATTGGGGGTGGGAAGGCTGGGCTCTTTTAAGAGCTCAGTTTAGATAGTCATCTTCTGTAGACAGATGTGGGTTCAAGGACTTCTCCATGAGTGAGCCCACTTTTTCTCTCCTGTGATCTTAGAACACACTTGAGCTTACACATCATAAGTCATAGATATTTTGTAAAATTGTTTTAGTTCTTCTGCTGTCTTTTGCTTAGCAAGATAATATATTGTTGTAAATATAAAGTAGCTACTGGAGGGGCTGTCAGCTGTTGTACAGTGTTGATTTCCAGTGCTGTCCCTTTGCAGTACTTTAGGAAGAATCATCAAGGTAACTCAGGAAGTGATTGACTACCGGAGGTGGATCAAAGAGAAGTGGGGCAGCAAGACCCGCCTGTCGCCAGCCCTCGGTGAGATACTTGCTCATTGTGGTCACCTGAGCCTCTGTGCATTAGTGCAGAAGGATCTCTTTGTCCGTTAATGGTAAACTGTTTAAACAAAACAAATAGTTTTTCTGATACACGTTTAATTAAAAACTGTAAGATCTAGACCAGCACTGTCTTATAGAAATATAATGCATGCCTAACATGGAATTCTAGAGTTTCTTTGTTAAAAATGTGGAAAGAAACAGGTGAAGTTAATATTAATAATATTTTATTCAACCCAATCCAAAATATGAACATTTTAACATGTAATCAACATAAAAAAATATTGAGACATTTTATAGCCTTTTTTTTGTCCTGTCTTTGAAAACCAGTGTGTATTTTTAACTATAGCATGTCCTGATTAGGATGCTAAATTTTCATCAGAAATACTTGATTTGTGTTTAGATTTTATAAAATTTATTGTAGAAGATGATTTACATACCCAGATTTTTAGTAGCATATTTAAATGTTTTCTAGTAACTAAATATAATCTTTAAAATTAAATTAATTAAAAGTTTAAAATTCAATTGTCACATTAGCAGCATTTGAAGGCTCTGCAGCAGGTGTGACTGGGGCTGCCTTTGAGGCTTTGCTTTCCTTTCACAGACAATAGAATTAAGATAAAAGAGCGAATAACCTCGTGCAATGGGGAGCAGACCCAGAGCCACGAGTCTGAGTCGCCCTACAGCCAGCGCCTGACTCTGTCTCTCTCCAGTCCTCAGCGCCTCTCCTCAGGCTCCTCTGCTTCTTCCGTGTCTTCACTTTCTGGAAGTGACATTGTGAGTGTGCCCTTGGCCATTCTCCTCCTGTGTCTGTTGGGTGGTTTGTGTTCCTGGTAAAGTCCATAGCGTTGAATTTATTTATTTATTTTTTCGGTGGTTGGCCGATACAGGGATTGAGCCCTTAACCTTGGTGCTATCAGCACCACACTCTACCCACATGAGCTAACCAGCCGGCCTCTGCATAGCATTGAATTTTAAATCTATTTTCCCATTAGTTTTGGTCACTTTGTGTGTGTGCATGTACACCTGAGTGCACGTGGCAGCCCTGAAGTCTGCACCCGGTGGTCCCCCTGTGTCACGAGCCTTGAGCGCATCAATCTTCATTGTTCACGTAGCCCGTTGAGAGTGGTGATATTGTTCACAGTTGAACTTCAGTGGACTCTCTTGAATAGTGCTTTAAAAAGCCATTGGGAGATTTTAAAAACTTAAGTCCAGGTGTCTCTTCTCTATGTCCTTTAACATTCTTTTTCAGTTTTGAACTTGAAATCTGGATATATTTGGACCGCCTGTTGTTCAAAAGCTGGACTTACTCTAATAACCTTTCATAGCTAGCCTTGACGCAGGCGCTCCTTTCATACCTCTAAGAAGCAGTGCACCTCTGTGGTTCAACTCTCCTTGTTACTTTTTGTACTGAATTCAAGGACTCAGACACGCCTCCCTGCACAACACCCAGCGTTTACCAGTTCAGTCTCCAGGCGCCGACTCCCCTGATGGCCAGCTTACCCACTGCCTTGCCAATGCCCAGTGGCAAACCTCAGTCCACCACTTCCAGGACTTTGATCATGACAACTAATAATCAGGTACGTGGCCCACTGATGCCCTTCCCAATGACATGCCCAGGAAACAGTGTCTGAGCTGCGAAACATACTAGAGGAGATTGATGACAATTTTGAATTAGAAACAGAACTTTCTGAGTCTTTGGTGGGTTAGCCATTTCCATCTTGTTATATAGGAAATTCTCTTTTTTTTTGTGGAACACTAGAATGTAACTCCTGTTATTCTATAAAAGACAATGTCTAACATCATTGATGTTGAGGTCCACAGTGCACTGTTTAGGAGACTCTGGTTCTGAGTTCTGAAATGGCTTTTGATAGGGGCCAACTTGAGTGCCTTTCTGCACCCTATCTGGGGTTGTCTTGGAGGGGTTCTGGTTGTCTCTACTCACCCTGTCCCTGGGCAGGCATGGACACTTGTCCCTATTTCCTCATAGAATCTCAGTGTTTAGACTTTTGAAAGTTTTAATATGAACTTAGACTCTTTTCATTTTATTAATTAGGCATTTTTTAGGGCTCTTTCTGTTAGAATATGCTGTTTTTTAAATTTAAATAAACTTAGAAGTCTAAAAGAGAATTTATAAATATTCTGTATCTGTTTTCCAGTTTTACATCAATTGAATATGTACACAAGTACCAGTTTCTGAAATGTGGGTTATAATCTGAGCATAGGGCCGGCCCGGTGGCGCACTCGATAGAGTGCGGCGCTTGGGAGCGCGGTGGTGCTCCCGCCGAGGGTTTGGATCCCATATAGAGACCGGTCCGCTCACTGGTTGAGCGCGGTGCGGGCGCGACACCGAGGGTTGTGATCCCGTTACCGGTCACGAAAAAAGACAAAAAAAAAAAAACAAATAAAAAACAAAGTAGATGCATGCAAACGTATGTTCATTTCTTGGCGTCATCTGGCTCTGCTCTGGGAGACAGTCTCCCAGGAGACCCTGAGGCCTTAAGGGATGCTGCACACGTGGCTCCCCAGCCACACCAGCATGGCCAGCATTTGACACACACAGCCCAGCCCGAACCTGGGAAAAATATAACATTTCGAGGCTGTCATTATAAGCTATTAAAATAAGTTCTGCCACAGATAAGCTTGGTTGCCTTTGAACAGTTATCACGTTGGCCACGGCTTCCCTGACTCTCGTCATGGAGGCAATATTTTAACCTCCTCCTGGGCTCAGTGGCCTGAGAGCTGCGTGCAGCTGCTGAGCTTCAGTGTGTGGTGTTCCTGCCCGGAAGAGTGTCTAAGACGGCGTGTTGGCACTGTGGTCCAGTAGTCACTCACATTCGTGTCCATTGTATGCTCACAGTGAGTGAGGTTAGTGTGTTAATGTCATTAAAAACATTACGACGAGGCTCAGCAACCCCTTTCTCTTTTACTTCCACTGGCATATAATTACATTGCTTCCACTGCAATAATCAGGTGAAGTCCCATCCTGAAACGTCATGTGCGCCATCCATTCTGTGCATACTGCAAATGATGAAGTCCCCCATTCGAGGGGGGGCTTCCAAGTCTGAAGGGGATCAAAACTAGAGACCTTTAGAGTTGGTGGGCGTTAAGATGTCAGAGACCCCAGGGAGTTGAGCCTGCTTTGCTGGTGACCCATTTGCCTGGGGAAATGAAGCCCCCACTAAGGAGAGGCTATGTCTGTAGAGTAGGGCCCTGGCCCTGACCAGGGTGGTGATGCGGGGACCTGGGCTTTGGGGCTGAGATTCCCCAGCATGCGCTTTTAATGAAGCCTCAGAAAGATTCTCCGTGAGTTCTCTGGAGAGCCAGTATGTGGGCCGAGATGGGACCAGTGCAGTTGTCGCAAGTCTGAGGGGGGCTCTTGCCAGCACCCCTCTTCTGCTGACAGTAACAGGTACAGAAACGACAGCAGTCCAGGAGCTGCAGAAGGAAGTGCCAAGGACCTGCCGGCCTCCCTGGCCTCCCATCCTGAGGCTCAACAGCCGGGCCAGCCTGGCCTCTGGTCCTCTCGGTTCCGTGTGGTGTTGGAGGAGGGGATGCTGCACCGTGGGGCTCTTCTCAGAAATCCGAGTCACGGCTGTTATTCTGATGACTGTTCTTTTCTGAATTGTTGTTTGGTCTTCAAAGAGTTTTAAAACTTCATGACTTTGGTTACTTGGCATACTTCATGCTGTAATTACTATTCCAGAATATAAGGTATTTCCGATTCAAAACAAGATACTTTTAGGGCCGGCCCGGTGGCGCACTCGGTAGAGTGCGGCGCTTGGGAGTGCGGTGGTGCTCCCGCTGAGGGTTCGGATCCCATATAGAGACCGGTCCGCTCACTGGTTGAGTGCGGTGCGGGCGTGACACCGAGGGTTGCGATCCCGTTGCTGGTCCCGGTATGGGTGCGACACTGAGGGTTGCGATCCCGTTACAGGTCACGAAAAAAGACAAAAAGGAAAAATAAATAAATAAATAAAACAAGATACTTTTAGGTTATAGTAAAAGAAACTGCTTTATCAAGCTGGTATTCAAATGGACTGCTCCCGGCAGCCACCAGGCTTTGCTGTGCTTAGCTCTAGATCTTGGCTGTTTCTACCTTGTTGGCTTGGTACCTATGGATGTCTCTGCTTTTTTCTTCTAGACCAGGTTTACTATACCTCCACCGACCCTAGGGGTTGCCCCTGTTCCTTGCAGACCAGCGGGAGTTGAGGGAACCACATCGCTAAAAGCCGTGCACCACATGTCTTCTCCGGCCATTTCCTCTGCATCCCCCAACTCGCTGTCAAGCCCACACCTGTATCATAAGGTACGTCTCCGCTCTGCTAGTGCCCCTCAGAGCATCCCACCGAGGTACTGTGCGACAGCCCAGTGCTGTACATTTCTTCCACAGGGAGTTCCAGGGGGATTGTTTTGAAAGGGAACTTGTTCTCTGGTCATTCGGCTTCATGTTCACTTTCCTTTCCAAACAAAACTTTAAAAATGTTAAATTATTTTAAAGTGTAATATAGTTTAGTTGGTCACCGCAAGCATCTCTGTCTCTTTAAGAATAGTAACAGTGGTTTACTTGGGTCACAGATTCACAGCTTGGTCAGGGCTTGGCTTTGACAGCTCATCTCTGTTCAGGAGTCATCAGCGGGGGCAGCTATCTCTGCTGGCTATTTTCAGGATGGCTCACTTATAATTAGAGAGTCCCACAGCGTCTCTCAATTCTTCTGTTGGACTGATTAGCATAAAACTGAAGTTTGAAATGAGCTAGATTCAAGATGAAGAATATTTGTTTTCTCTTTTATTTATTACATTTGTTTATATGCTAAATATGTTGGTTTTAAAGAAGCCAGAAGTAAACCAAGAACCAGTCTTGTCACGGCCTCCCGTATGTGGCGCTGGGAGTGCCCACGATGCCTGGCACGCCCCACCTGGCTAGTGAGGGGCGGATGGACAAAGACCACATTTGATGAGCTTGCCTGGTGCTGTGGGGTCCCTGGGGTGTGTCTGTTTATGTCCCCATGGCTTTTCTTTGAATCCCATGCCTTAGACACTGTGTGTGCTGTGAACACAGGTCATTATTAAGTCCCTGTGCTCGTGAAGTACCTGAATGTCGAGTGAGTTGTGACCCAGGTCTTCCAGTAGGAATCCCACGCCACTTCTGACGTTCCCCTGGGCCCCGATGGTACTCGGTGCACTCACTCGTGTTCACATCTCTTCCTCCAGGCACTTCCTCCTCTGCTCACCTAAACCTATTTGCCAGTAAAGGTTTTGTTCTTGGGGGTTGGTTCTTTGGCCCTGTGTCATTGATTCATGATGATTATTTTTCTAAGAATTACGTAATAGGACATTCCTTCTTGGGTCTTTCCATCCTGCCGCAGTAGAGCTGTCGTTGGAAACATTCAGGATGAAGTTATAACTCTGTAGGAGGGAGGAGCAGCCTTCATCAGTGGCATTTGGCTTTCCTTTCTCAGCCACCTTCTGCTGTTTGGTTTGCCCCGAAGTCTTCCCAACACAGCTTGTGTTTCTCTTGGTCTGCTTTGCATGAGGACTTTGCAGTGCAGGGACCGTGCTTTGGGAGCACCTGCACACGTGCTGTTCCAACACCAGGCCCACGGCACCTGTGACTCAAGTCTGTGGGGAAGGAGATGAGGGAGACCTTCTTATTTCTGTGGACAAACAGACCCGGCGAGAAGTGAGAATCTAATGGATTTGTATAGTGTGCCGCTGGCCCACAGTTCTCACCTTGAGTGAGTCACTGAATGGGAATAATGCTTCTTGTCTCAAATGTCAGATTTTAGAGTTACGAGATGGAGAGTGCAGGTTTCTGCCACCCCTTCCAGTTTAATGTCACGTACACGCTTAATGTGGGCAGCGTTGATAGGCGTGTCTCAGTCGTTCACTCAGCTGTGTGCATTCCCCTCTCTGGTTTCTGACCATTGCCCGTAGAGACGATGTGCTGGTGGTTGCTCAGGCTCACGGCCTGAGCACTGAGCTTTGTGTGCACTGAGCCAGGGCGGTGCTCTCAGGGGAGTCACATCTGATGTGTGTGTACTGGGCTCCAACATTGTTGTTCCTCTTTGTCTCTTCAGCAGCACAACGGCATGAAATTGTCCATGAAAGGCTCTCATGGCCATACACAAGGTGGCGGCTACAGCTCTGTGGGCAGTGGAGGCGTGCGGCCCCCCGTGGGCAACCGGGGACACCACCAGTATAACCGCACCGGCTGGAGGAGGAAAAAACACACACACACGAGGGACAGTCTGCCCGTGAGTCTCAGCAGATAATGGCCCCTGCTGCGCCAGCCTCCCCTCCCTCCACAGACTGCCCAGCGGCCTCGGCACCGGCGGGGACCCGAGACCAGCATCCAGCACACGGGCTGCCGCCGGTCACTCTGCATGTTTCTCTGTGTGGCAGTCGCATCCATCCTAAAGAACAACGCGTTGTGCTCATCTGTGAAGCCTTATTAAACGTGGACGTCGCTTCCTGCCTTGCCAGGATTCTTCGTTCAGTGCTGAGGCAGGTCGGGCTCAGGAACTGCAGGCACGTGAACGTGCTTTTGTGGTTTCACGGTAGCCGTGGCTATTGCTTTGCAGTTTGGTATTTTCATTTCACGTTTGTCAAAGCAGCGGAGGAGATCAAACCCGTTCTTGTGTCTTTCCTCTACGCATATGGTTGGGAAGTCATCGTTTTACTGCCCTCGTGTTTTGTTTGAAATTTCAGAACTGTTTTTCTATGTAAATATTGAAAACTTATGATTTGTGCAATAACTCAGATATTTTTTATTTAATTTCATATTTTCACATAAGTTATATTTAAGGGAGGAGGGAATTTTTTTTAAACAAGCTCAGATCCTTTCCCAAGTTGCATTTTCTAAGTTGGGTTCATCGTGTTGGCTGATTGTCTGATGAGCATCATTACGAACACCATGATGAGGGGTTTGGGGTCTTATTTCTGTGTTTTTTCTTTTGGTCAGACTGAGTGAAGGAGCTGAGTATCCTTGATGGTTTTCTGAGGGGTTCAGCCCCAAAGGCTCCTGCAGACTGCCTGGCAGTCCTGCCATGGGCCTCCAGCTGTCATCTTGCTCTGACCACTGAGTTCCAATGTTTTGGTTTTTGGTTCTTTTAAACTAGACAACAAATCCAGCATTTAAAGTGCCAGAAGTATAACTTTCTAAGGGGAGAAAGGTTGTCACATTATAAAATCTTAAAAAACAAAAAATGTGAACTTGGAAATGCTGCAGTCAGTTTTAGTGACATAGCCTGTAATGATGGGTCTGATGAATGTCATTGTGGACAATGGTACCCAGTTTTAGGAATGTGGAGAAAGGAGTTATGTTGATTCCGTTGAGGAATCTATATAGCAGTATGCATTCGTTCTGTTAAGAGCAAATATATGAGAAGTACTTGAGCTGCTCAGTGCACCGTGGGGAGTGTTTTTATTGTACCGCAGGAGAGCACAGCCCAATGTTGGGCCCAGGAGCGCTGGCGCCGACGTCAGAAACATACAGGTATACTATGCAAGTGTATTCTGCCACAACAACCACTGTCTTTGTTACCTTTTTTTGAACAAGAATATGTCCATCCTGCCTAGCCTTGAGTTTTTGGAGTACCACAGTTGTCCTGGGAGTTGGTTGCATCTTGTAGGCCAGCTGACTTGCCGTTTTTAAAAGGGGGGCTTCTGCCCTGCTAAACACTACAGAGAGTCTGGTCTTCGAAGCCCACTAGTGGGGAGTGTCGAGACAAGAAACTTATTGCCATGATGTCTGATGGGTGTGCACCAGTGGTAGACTGAGGTCTGAGTGTGACGGACCCCACAGGGACAAGCTCTGTACCATTCCTGTGTCTGCCTCTAAGAAGCAGGACTGGCCCACACGGTCATGGGGGCTGTCAATGGTGCCTGCAGATTCTCTAGGAGGCTTTCCAGACCAGAGTAGCACATTGTGTCTGCAGTTCTTGATGATTGAAAGTTATCAAAAATATTTTAAAATATTTAAATTGTGAACTTTATTGATAAAGAATATTTATAAAAACTGATCCGTAGGCTTGTACTAATCTCAATGCATTAGCAATATTGACTGTAAACCTGTATTAAGGAAACACTATGGGGACAGTGGGGTATGTCCCGTGGGGTGTGTATTCTATATAGCTCAATGCATAGACACAGGTACCATGCTCCGTGCCCATCATGGTGAACCAAATGAATTGTCTGGCTGCCACTGTGGCTGCGTGCTGCAGGGTTAACACAAAGGTATCATGTCTCGATTCTGTGTGTGCGTGGACAGCAGTGTGGAAGCTAAAATTGACATATTTTTATGTAAAGTTTTTCTATTCTTTGATTTTTAATAAACTTTGGAAACCAGTTCTGTATTTGTGTTTGAATATATCCTTTCTTTCCAAAGGGAAGGATGGCTTCAATATTTTCAGTTTTGAATTTTCTAAATTAGGGTAAGCTTTAGCCAATTACCTGCTTTAAAAAGGACTCAAAAAAAGGCTTCCAGTCCTATAAAGAGAATTTGGCTGGGGGTGGGGAGGGGATTGTTTTGTCATTGGTTCATTAAATGGGGTTGAGGGTCTAGCCTTTGTGTAAGGCCTGCAGGAAAGAAAAGTGACCAGTGCATGTAGTTTGTCCTCACTTTCTGATGCTGATAGGGATTCAGTAAAACCACTTAACAGATACCATTATATGTGCAGTTTCTGATGAGCTGATACAGGATACACAGACCTCCCAGTGAAACGTTTCATTTCTTCTATGTCTCTTTTAGGTCAGCATTATATCACTTAAAGACAACACATTTCAAACCACCAAACAATCATACTGTAGCTCAAAATGTAACTTAAGTTTGGAATTTATAAGGACATTCGTAAGAACTCTGATCAACCAGTGAGTGACAGAGCTGTGTGTCCCAGGTGACGTAACCCCTTTGTGTGTTAGCTCCAAGGCCACAGATCCTTGCACGATGTTCAGGTGGGTGCCGGTGGCAAACACTCCTTCCTCCCTCCCACAGTTGCCACGAGTCCTCTGAGCAGGTGCTGCCCTGTCCTTGTGGCACCTGGTTCTAGCAAGGGTGTGGAAGCAGCTGAAAGTAGCTGTACTGCCAGGGAGGTGCAGCAGGGGAGGCTGCAGGCCTCCAGGAGAGGGACTGCATCAGCAGCGCAGTGGCTGGGGGGTGTTGGTGTGTTGCGGCCTGGCAAAGAGGCCCAAGTGGGTAGGCAGGGTGGGGGGGGGGGGG